GAAGAGGAATACATGGTAGAGGAAAACATAGAAGAGGAATACATAGAAGAGGTAAACATGGAAGAGGAAACATAGAAGAGGTAAACATGTCTCTGACATACACAGAGACAAACCTACCAATAAACCAAACAAAGAAGAAGAACATCTGTCTCATAAGTGACTTACTGTTCACCATATATGTTCACCAGCAAGTTGCTAACTTTGTGTGTCTGTCATCAGTGCTGTACAGGAAGTGAACATTGAGTGTAGCAGCTTTTACACTGAAAAAAGTGAGTTAATCAGAATTAAACAGAGGTACGGCTCATCTGGGTTAATCACTAAGAAACCAAACAACCTCTCTCATTTACAAGTGATTAGATCAATTGTAATTTATTTATTATTGCCAATTTAAAAAACATTCCTCCCTAGAATCAAATATCTCACTGTGGCTGAAGTGAGAAACTATATATAGATTTATATATAGTGTGGTGGAAACTATTTTGTTGTACCTGTCTGAGCCTTTTATGACTTGAACTGTCTGTGACCTGAAGCCTGTCTGACCTTTCTGTTACTTTATGACCTTCCAATCACTTATTTTCTGTCTGCTCTATCTTCAAAACAAACTTATACAGAGTAGTTTCCTGTGTCTTAATCCCTGTCTCAAACTGCGGCTACAGAACCAGTCTGAACTGGCTCAGACAACAGCCTGAGTTCTCCTTTATAAGATGTTTGCATTTGACTGTTCTCCATCAACACTCTGAGATCCCTGTGACTCCCTGTGTTGATCCTTTCTGCAAAAAGCTCTCAATAAAATACACAAAGACAGATTTGATAACCCAGCCTCTGTATTTTCAGATTTCCATCACAATAGTTTGGTTGAACTGACCCTTTAATCCGATCTGTTCTTCATAGGTGCCTGGTTGGAGATCCTAGTGGAAAGAGCTACGGCGATGTGGCCTTTTTAGAGCAGCACAACCTTCAGGCTAACATCCTCAGTGAGATGTTCAAGATAAACTCCTGACATGAACACACACCGATGCTCGTTTATCGTTATCATGTCACCGCATATGTTTCTGTCATGTTGTGCTTCAGGTTTGATCTCCAGTGGTTGGGCGGAGGGTTGGACGTCATCAGACATCGAGCTGCTGTGTGATGACGGCCGTCGAGCCCCGTTGTCAGAGTGGGAGAGCTGTAACCTCGGGGTCATCCCACCGAACACTGTTATGACACGGCCGGTGCTCACGGGGCGAGTGTACGACTTCCTCATGAAGTCGCAGGTCAGCTTATCTGATTCGATTTTTATTTGTGGGAGGTTTTCAAATGTGGCTTTTCTTGTGCACTCTGTGGTTTCACAGGCTCTGCTGTCCCTTTACATCACCTCAGAATAGTGTCTCAACATTTCTCAACAGTGAATCAGAACAGTGTTGTTCACTGGCTAGACTCACTCAGAACTCCGCAGGCCATTGTCATTGTATTTAGGAGAGGATTATTTCAGGTTTCACAGTTTTACTTTAAGACACTTTAAACACTTTTAGCAATCATACAAGTTTTAAATCTAAGATCTAAAGCTAAAATAAAAGCAAACATTTAGATTTTAAAGAATTGTTGAAAGGCTCAGTGTGTAAGATTAGGTAAAAGGGATCTATAGGAAGAAATTGAATGTAAAATAATTCTAGTGATGTTTGCACTTGTGTTTCATCTCAATTGTAGGAATTGTTGTTTTCTTTACCCTTGAATGGGACCTTTATGTTGAAATACTTTATGTATTTATACCATGTTTTTTGGTTGTCCAAACTGGAAAAACTAAAAACCTTTTGAGGTTTTATGAAAGATGAAGGTTTCCAAAGGTTCTCTTTCATGTTTGGAAGGGGAGGGTGAGGTGAGAGGTGTTCAGCTGCAACATGCAACCTTCACTTCAGATGTCACTAAATTCTACAGACTGAACCTTTAAGTCTGACCTTAATCAGTCAAAGATCTACATTTGTTTCTTCTGATGAATGTTCGGGACATGCACTTAAATTACAGTCTTTGCCAGTGCAGGTGGATATTTATTCTTTAATCTTTTAAACACATTTTTTTACCATGAAGGAAACTTTGGCAGCCAAACCCGACGCAGACTTCCAGCTCTTTGAGTCTCATCCGTACGGAGAAAGTGACCTGCTGTTCAAAGATTCAACGCAGTGTTTCGTCCACACGAGTCACATGGATTACCGCTCCATCCTCGGAGAGGAGTTTTACTCTCATGCAGAATCTGTCTTCAACTGCACGCACTCTGGTACAACTGCAACCAAATACACTGATTTTCATGTATGTCAAATATATATAACCATCTCCTTTGCTAATGTATTCCTCATTTCTCCTTGCAACAGATATCCTGGAGTTTTGCCATCAGGACGTGTGCAGCATATTCTAAAAGACATAGAGAAGGAAACAACTCTTTATGTTCTTCTTGATGGTTAAAACCTTCACATGCATTCTTTTCATCCATCTCTGATGCAAACTTTTAATCAGGATCATACAACAACTGCTGGATGTGTGGTCATTCACAACAAGATGTCATGAATTAATACATCGTATCAAGTCAGAGATGAACACAGCATTGCAGCCAAATACAAATGAAGTAACTAGTGACCAACTTATATACAGGACAGTTTATACAGTTTAACAGAAAATACCTCCATGCTGCTCTTGTGGTGTTATGCAAGTGTTCGACATTCACATCTGACTCGAAACGGCGTCCAACCGTGTTTTTGGTCTAAATGTCCAAGATTTAGTCTCCCACTTTCATTAATTATGTTTTATGACAAATACATTATTTAGTTTATCAGATCACTTCCTTTGTTTAATCTTTCTACTTAAGAGTCAGATGTGTTGTTATTTTGTCCCCTCAGTCGTTGAGGGTTCTCCTTCTCTCTGCTACAACAGAACCCTCATAAAGATGGTAATGTCCATTTTATTGTCTTTAAACTGAGGCTGTAGTTTGTATCCGTCTGTTTGTTTTCATTGTGTGTCTTTGTACTTATCTTTACTCTTTATGTTCAGGTACATCACGTGTTGTTGACAGACTCATAGTTAGACCCTTAGTGATACACAGAGTCAAATTTGGCAAATAAAGTTGATCCACACTGAGCTCCTGGGCCGAAGTCGTTTTACTACAACTCCCAGTTTGCAGCGCGAATATGTTTGGTGTTACGTGAAATCGGGTATTTCCGGTTCCTCTCCGTCTCTGTGCTACAAAGGTTCCTGTCTTATATCAGCCAGTGGGTTTGAGATGTTACTGAAGAGACATTTCTCCGCTGGAGACTCGCTGTTGAACCAGAAACTACAGTAACGTGACCGTGGGTCTGCTGGAGGAGACAGAGAAGGTACAGCGGCTTAACAACGTTTGGGAACAAAGTTAGCACGCTGACACCTGGTTAGCTAGCTTCGACAGGAACTTAAATAAATAGCGATTGTTTCAGTGTCTTGTTGTTTTCTCATGTTCCAACCATAGACTGTATATAAAGAGGTTCCAACGTTACTCACGTTAAAGCTCGTGGAGAAAGTGAATTGCAAAGGTCATGTTAAGCAGGTGTTGTGACGTTATAGGTCATTTGTGATTATAGCTTCCTACAGGGAAGCATTGATTTAAGTTTAACAGGAAAATACATATTTAACATGTTTCTTGGTCTACAATGTAAAATAAAGTCAAATTATGAAAGCATGTTGGCACTAAAATCATTTGTAGACCTCTGACCTTTCATTATTAAGTTAGTTATCAAAGGTCCAGTGTGTAAGATTTAGATGAAAGGGATCTATTGGCAGAAATGTAATGTAGAATAATCCTCATGATGTTTTCACTAGTTCGTTTCATCTAAATTGTATGAATTGTAGTTTTCTTTACCCCAGAAAAGACTCTTTATATTTAAATACTTTATATTTACATCGAGGGGACCCTCTCTACGGAGGCCACCATGTTTTTTACATCAGTCCAGACTGGACAAACTAAACACCTTTTGAGTTTTATGACAACTGAAGCTGCCACAGGTTCTTTATCATGTTTGGAAGGAGAGGGTGAGGTGTGGGGTGTTTCAATACTAGATATCACTAAATTCTACACACTGCACCTTTAAGTGGTTAATCAGTCCATCCATTTTATTTATTAATTTTATACACGTTCTGCTGATTATCCAGGTCTAGGTAATTATGTTATTATATTATAAGGAATATTTCAGTAGGATTTCTACATTCTCCATGTGGTAATAAAATGGTCTGATTTTAATTTGGTCACCTTTGCAGAAACCTGACTAGTTTACATTCACTGCTGGTGGAGGAACATGATGTAAGTGTTGCAGTGAAGTTAGTGATTTATAGTTAATGACCATGAGCACTGTATTTGTCCTGATTTAGATGAGACTGCCATGGTGGACCCTCACGTTACACAGAGGGCCTGTAAGGAGAGCATCCTCAGTCCCTGCAGGTTTGGTGAACTTTGTCCCAGCCTGCAGCACCACTGACGCCCACTCCCAGGACCTCCTGCAGGAGTTTGTGTCTCGAGCCGGTCGCCTGTTTGTCATCACCGGAGCAGGCCTCTCTACAGAGTCGGGCATCCCTGATTATCGCTCAGAGGGTGTTGGACTGTACGCCCGCACGAGTAGGCGACCCATGGAGCATGCAGAGTTTGTCCGCAGCGCAAAGTCACGACAGCGCTACTGGGCCAGGAACTTTGTCGGGTGGCCGCAGTTCTCTTCCCATCAGCCGAACTCTGCTCACAGGGTTCTTCAGCAGTGGGAGGAGAGGGGGAAGCTGCACTGGCTGGTCACACAAAACGTGGATGCTCTTCACTCGAAGGCCGGACAGAAAAGACTGACTGAGCTCCATGGCTGCACCCACAGGTGAGAAAACGTCACCAGACACCTTAAACATGGGCCCTCAGGGGTGAAGGTCAAATCCTTTTAAAGAGCAACAGTAGCGATAGTGAAATAAATACAGCACCAATACACTGTAGGTGGAAGTACTGCATTCAAAACTCTGCACGAGGAAGATAAATGAATAGTGATGATACATGGTTGTCTGCAGGGTTGTGTGTCTCGGCTGTGGTGCCATCTCTGCGAGGGAGGAGCTCCAGAGACAATTCATATCATTAAACCCAGGCTGGGGAGCTCAGGCAGGGGCCTCGGCTCCGGACGGCGACGTCTTCCTGGAGGACGAGCAGGTCCTTCATTTCAGGGTTCCCTCCTGCGACGTGTGTGGAGGAATACTGAAGCCTGAGGTGACTTTTTTTGGAGACTCTGTGAACAAAGGGACAGTACAGTTTGTACACGACAGACTGGCAGAGTCGGACGCAGTGCTGGTGGTGGGGTCCTCTTTACAGGCAGGTTTTGGTGCATTTTTTCATAATAACATGTTGAAAAGAGTTATTCTGGACTTTTGAATTGAATTTTGCCCCTCTGTGATATTCCCTATAGGTGTATTCAGGATACAGGTTCTTACTGGCAGCAAGTGACAGGAAAATGCCGGTCGCCATCCTGAACATCGGGCCCACGAGAGCCGACCACCTGGCTCAGCTGAAAGTGAGCGGCCGCTGTGGTGAAGTGCTGACAGTCATTCAGCCCCACTGACCCTCATGGACATCTTATTTAAAAATATTCTGTATTAGCTGATCAGGAGACTGCGAACTACAAACTACCTCATTTAACCAGATGACAACAAAATCCCCTTGAGGTTAATGTTCTCAGCTGTTTGAAACTTGTTTTGTGAAAAAGGCAAAAGGAGCCAGATTCATATTCACATCTCTGCTGGAGGTTAAAACTGATGTGCACTCACATGTTCTTTGCAAAACAACTAAATATTTATAGGATGAATGTCTTTCATTTTTTGGAAATTCAACATCTCTGGATTGATCAATGGATCAATATCTTGGCTCTGCACACTTCAAGTAAACTGATGGTGCTTTCATTTAAATAATCAACACCAATTGACCTGTTATTTTTAAATTAAACACCAACTGTTGTGTAAGTTGCTGTTACATAAAGGCATCAAATCATGTGGCCGGTACAATACAACAGATAAGTAATATTTTAGAAATGGTGTGATGGTTCTAAAGGGTTAATTTTATGTTATCATTGAATGGATTGGGATCTTGTATAATGTGGTGCTGAGACTGATTCATTTTAAATGTTAACATACCTTAGAGAATGTACCTTTTCTCTGCTTGTAAACCAGGTAGAAGCTTGAGACTGTAAACAGTGTCTGACAGAAACCTATTGTCTGTTTTAATTCTTTTAAATACATTATTTTAAGACATTACACTTTACATCAGCATGTCTGTTATTTGTCACAAATTCAGTTTTGAAGTTCTTGTAATCTTTTTTTAAATCTTAAAAATCTCTCCTGAAATTTACTCAGGTACAACTTTGGGATTTGAATGTTGCCTGAGTATTTCCATTTATAGTATACTTTTTACTTCACTACATTGATTGCACAGTTGTGCTGATTAGTTTTTTTAAATGAAGATTTTACATACACATAAAGTGGGTCCCAAAGAGCATTGACGTCAAGAATTGTATGTGTTTACCAGCAGTACCACTGTGAACCCAGGATGTGAAAAGCACTGCACATTAAGAAGTAAATGGCTGTTTTGACAAACTTTAATGAGGTGATAATGTACAAATGTCCTACAGTATAACAGGGTATTTAACAGTTTTCATCACAGACAGACTGAGGGTAGAGTTACTGTGGTTTGACAAACACTAAGATCCTTCAGGACATGTTGCTGCTGAAATCTGTCTTGTAAACAACGCCTCCAGTCGTCCAGGTTCGACTGCGTCTCTTTGAGCAGAACATCTGGGACGCTGAAAGAGTAGAGACAACATGTGTGACATGTGGAGCCCGCCTCCCATGTTGCTGCAGCTGTAGTCACCATCAGGGGTGTCATGGACAGACAGTTTTCAAAGCTGTGGGTCTGATCGAACCAGTAGGTTACAGGGTAACCCAACAGAAGACCAAAGACTGTACACAGGTTCCACTCTTCACATTTCTCTCCGACACAAAGAGGTTTCTGAGCCTCCTCTAGTCGTTCACACTCTCTCAGCAGAGGCAGGAAATCTTGTATCATGCTCTTCTGCTCTCCTCTAAGCTGGTCAGCGATGGCAGGCTTCTCAAGTGAGTGGCAGACATCTATCACAGCCGCTCCGCTGCCACACAGCACCTTTTCTAGATTTGATCTGATTGTAACTGGGTGAACAATTAGAGCGTGTCCATTTAAATCCAATGTGAGAAGAGATTTAGACACAAGCTGGGAAGACTGCAAAGAGCTCAAATACTGCTGCACCTGCTCTGAGCTGGAACCGTTACTGTCGAACAGCAGAGCAGGTTTCAAACCCAAATCAACAGCCAGGACCTGAGCAGCCAGGTCCAGACTCTGAGGAGCAGAGAGAGACTTTCTGCCGACACACAGATGTTTACGAGCGGCAGCGACAAACAACTCCTGAGTGGACATGGCTGCATCAGTCACAGGACACACAGTTCAAATTGTCAAATATTAGAGTAACGAAGCGAGTTTCTGCTGCAGTTTCCCCAGAGTCAACTTGGCTATGTGAGATCTTGGAAATAATTTAATCAAAATGCCATTTCAAAATCTAGAACCCAGAAACAAACAGAACAGAGACACGAGAATGGATGTAATTAGTTGTCAAGCCATTAACAATGAAATAAATGTAAAAATAATAATTAAAAAAGTGAAGCAAATTCAGGTAAACAAGATGATTTGTTTTCATAGTGTAACTCCTCATATAGGTTTAATGATCGTTTGTTGGTGTCCCTTGTATCTTCTCTGTTGGTCCAAGACACCTGAGGGAACACAGACGTCGCAAATATTACATGACAAAAATGTTTTTATCTGCATTAGAGTGCAAGAAGACGATCTTACCATCATCCTGGTTTTGGCGGTGCTATTATTTTTGTTGTTATGTCACAGGCTGCGGAGACATCAGGTCAAAATCGGAGAGATTTCTTGCAACCCAGACACCTGCTGCAAACAAACCCACGTTGACCAGAAGATTCCTGAAAGAGAATCAACAGAAAAGTTTGATTATGAGGAATTCTGACAAAATTAAAGCTTTTGACAAACGGCACAAAACTCAAAATACTACACAGAGACGATGGCTACATTAAACTTCTCATGGAGCGAAAACAACCTTCAGTGTTTCCCCCATCCTCACTTCCTGTAAACTGTGAGCAGATCTGCTGTGGTGTAATCCGCTTGATTCACAATGAATGACTGCTTTGATAACAGAATAGTGATGAATTTTTTAAAGACAAAATCCAACACTGAAAAAACAGTTCAGACCAGGCAGTTTGTCAAAGCAGCTGACATGCACGTGTGACAGCTTACAGTCAGTCTGGAGCTGTCAAGGGCCCCTGGAATTCTGGGGGCCCCAGGCCAGCAGTCCACTTTGCCCAATAATCATAATTAGAATAATATTGATGTAATAGTAACAGTGGGGTTAGTGAAAGTTTTTCCAGTTGCTTTGATAATCTTTTAATCAAGTTGATCACTAATACACAGTCTTATAAAACCCGGTCACAAGATCACAACACGAGTCGTCCATGCACCTAAATGTTTGTCAGTCTGCGTCCCTGACTTTCTGTCGATGGACTGAGCTGATCGATTAATCGACTAGTCGCATATGATCAGCGATTACATCAAGACGACAGACTCAAGGGCAAAGCGTTAGCCGCGTGGCTAACGTTAGCACACAGGTCACATCACATGCTCTCCCCGTCGACTGACCTCCTGAAGTCGGTTCTGTCTGTAGCGAACCGACAGGCTGAGCGGACCCAGTCCGCCACACTGGAGGGAGAGCTCTTCTTAGCGTCCGGACCAGTCATCGTGCCAGCGTGCGTCAAGAACTGTAGCGAGGTGTGCTCGGAACTGATAAACAACAGCGGGCAGGAGGGGGAAGACTTTAGCTGAACACCAGTACGGTGAGAGAAAAGGCTCAAACCTCAGGCGTCCTCTGAAGACTCGCTCGCTATACGTAAAAAAAATGTCTGCCACCAGGTACCGTCGGTTCCTGAAGCTGTGCGAAGAGTGGCCGCGGGATGAGACCAAGAAAGGCCGCGACCTGGGGACGTTTCTGCGGCAGAGAGTAGCCTCCGCCTTCCGGGAGGGTGAAAACACACAGGTACCGAGGCTACGCAGTTCCGCGTCATGAACACCGAGATAAGCTGAGGGCTTTACCCGGACCAGGAGCACCAGCAGCCGGCGACCTTGTCTGCTCTGACCGTGTGTTGTTAACTAACACTGTGTCTTTAGTATTGAGACTTCGTAGGTTCAGCTGTGGAGGCCGAGAGTCACTAACTGTGTTTATATCTACATGCATAATATGTCTGTATACACACTATCTGTATATCTACACACAGTATTTGTATTTACATAATTTGTTTGTATCCACTCACAGTATTTATACTCACATAATGTTTATTTCCACTCTCAGTATCTGTATATCTACACACAGTGATTATAGTTACATCATTTTTATATGCACACATATCATTTTAATATCTATTTATCTTTTAAGGCTTAATTATTATTTTCAAACGGATATTTTGGATTTTGTTGATATTAGTCAATTAGTGAACCCAAATCCTATTATGAAAGATGCACTAATTGAACTAGATTCAGTGATTATATAAAGGGAGTAAAATTCAATGAATAGATAAATTCAGTCAACTCAAATAGGAAATCCCTTCAATTAAAGTATGTTTTAAGCAGTGTACTACTTGTGAAAAATATGCAACCAATTATTTATCTATTGATAATTGATTGATTATTTGTTAACTTAGCAGGGACAATGCACATACAGCAATAATCTACTTTCCTAATGTGAAGTCACTGGGTGGAGGCTGCAGAAGTAGAAGATAACAGCCATTTATCTTACACTTACAAACACAGATAACTTACTGACCTCTATCCTGCTCTTTACATTTCAACAACTTAACCTTTAACGTTTTCCCTCCAGATCTCAGATCCAGAGAAATGTGATCAGATGTATGAAAGTTTGGCTCAAATTAACGGCAACGTGTACAGACAACGAGTAAGTAGACTGCATCTGCTACATTTATTTCTTGTAATGGATGTTTCACTTAAAAAAAAGAATGAAAAAATTAGGTCAAATCCCTTTTCCTTCAAATGCAACAAATCCATCTGTGGACAATACATTTTCCTCCACAGCTAAAATCTGTCAGCGAAGGAATGAATTCTCCATCTTGTTCAAGAGTGAAGAGGAAACCTTGTGTCTTTTTAGCATTAATTCTGTGATAAAGATAATAAAACAGTTTATAGTTGGTGCAAAGGTCTCAGAGTCTGTAAATGTAGCAGCATTTTAAAATCATACTGGTCTTTGTTCACCATCCATCCCTGTGTAAAATCCAGTAACCTGTAGAAAAAGACTCAAAACTGTCTTTGTATCTTGGCACAGTTTCCTCGTGTAAGAGACACAAGCTTTACCGGTGTGACGGTGGAGGAGTGTAAAGTTCTGTTGTCAGGTATGGATTCACATCATCAGAAGCGCTGTGTTCAATACAAATAATATGGTTGGATTTAACCTGTAGGATGAAAATGACTGGAACATCAATCTGGATTTTACAGGGAGCGTGCAACAGATGGACGATGAAAAAAAGGGTCTTTGGAAGACGTTGATGGAGAGATTCTCCTCCAAATCACCAGAAGAAGTTCCAGAGAAATCTGCAGAAAAATAACTCTTTTCTTATTGTATGTACAGAAATACAACTTATTGTTGGCATCTTTTTGGACTGTCATTTTTATGAATTGTTATTATGGAACTTTTTTAAATGGTTAGTTGTATAGGCTGTTGCTTTGGAGGTGAAAGACTACATCCATCTATCATTATTTATGTATATCAATTATCCATTGAGTGTCTGAGGATGCCAAAGCCAATCCCTGGGGTACACCCCGGAGGGGTCACCAGTCCATCATAGCGCAGACTGAGAAAGACTCAGCAAAAGGACAAAGGGTTACGGAATACCATCCAAGCACATAGATTGGACTAAAACCCCTTTAAGGAGACACATTTTAAAATTGCAAATTATTCTTGAACCCAGGTTTGTTATTTAAGATATCTAAAAATGTATTTGGTGGAAATTAAGTTCGGGAACTGAGGAACAAGATCTCTAAGCATTAAGAGATCAAATGTCTTGGATGTTTTGACTAGTCTTCAGCATGAAACAGAATTTAACCAACTGGAAAAGAAGTCCGACAATATACCATATAACTCTATTCATTTTGATCCAGATCCAGAGAAATGAAAATCTGTTACAGTAACAGGTTGGGCAGAATCTGAGCTGCTGAGTGTGTATGGGGGAGATTCTGTGATTTACTTTACTCGTGCTACATTTTTACTTGTCCTGAAAAACAATGAACTAAAACTTGCTGTAAAACCTTGATATTTTTTACCACATATATTTCTTTAGCCAACACCAGCTCATTATAAATAACTTAATATTGTTGCTCACCATTCTTCCCTGACTGTGTTGTGGAAATGATAAACATTTAAAAGGTCATTTGGATCATTTATTTTAATTTGAGCAGATTTATAGCAGTAACTAAAGCATCTTTCTTCATCAGTAACACACACAGGATGGTCTTCATGAAAAAAACAATACATTCACATTGTATCACTATCAACTTCAATTGAAAACATGTAGCACAGTGAGTCCTGCTTTTGTGTTCTTTAAGGATATTGACAAATTCTGACTGCGTGGATGAGTTATTTTGAATATTGGCCATCATTCACACAGATATTGATCAGTCTTTGACAAGGTGATTTTATACCATCCATCCTCCATCATAGACTGACTAGTTTGTGAATCTGTGATCTAGAATTCCATAGAAAGAAAAATTGATTTGAAAACACTGAATAATGTCATGATTCTGACTTGAAGTGCTCTGGTCAAAGCCCACTGAGCCGTCCCCTACTCCTTTTTTTCCTCACGGTTGTCTCTCCATATGCAGTAGTTGAGAGAGGTGGCGAGGCACAGCCAGGTAAGGTAGGGCGCCATGAGCAGAGTGGCGGTGCGGCTGATGGGATACCAAGACACCATGGTGGCTCCGACAGTCCCAGTGAGAAGTACGATCTCCATGAGGGCCTGACATGGGCAGAGGAAGAGAGCCGGTGTAAAAGGGACCACAATGTACAATATTGAGTTGTGAATAATGATCCCATGTGTTGTCTCAGATAAAGAAATAATTCTCACCAGTTTTATCTTGTGTGCACCAAAGAAAATGGGAGTCCAGGCCCAGTTAAGAGCAAGTTGTAGCCCATATAGTCCCAGTGGAAGCAGTGCATCCTCAGTGAAACCTCCCAGTTCCTTCCACACCAGGTAGGAGCTGTACCTGCACCACAGAAAAGAAAAATACATGTATGGATTGTTTTATAAAATGAGGGTGGCACAGAAAATGAAAGACTGTATTAGTCATTGTGAGTTTTACCCCATGCCCGTGTACAGACAAGTCCAGACTATAGGGAATGCCGCGTTCGGCGGGCGCCATGATGGTTTCTGCAGGCTTGGGTACCAGTCCTTCACCTCTTTGCGTGTGATATAGCCACCGTACAGCCCCCCCAGGTGGGGCAGGGCGGTCATCCCAATCATAGGCAGCCACATTTTCTGAGATAAGAGCAGGAAATGTTGTTAAAAAATAACCTCTGTTTTGCATCTACTATTTTGTAACAATAATTACTTTTGGTCAGATGATTGGAAATTTAAATGCAGTATCAAGACATTTCCAACAATATCCAGCTCTACCCTCTGCCCCTGACAAGAGATTCAAAAGTGAGATGTTTCTCTGCGGCACGGGTCTTGGGACTGTTGACCCAGGACGGACTGCGTCTTGATAACAAAGCGTTTGCAGTGAGATAAAAACCTGACAAACGTGGTCTGAGGCTGTTGTGTATCACATCTACATATATCAGAAAAGATGAATGTAGATATTGATATGTCGGCTCCACTCAGTATAGCACAAGAAGCGTGTCTAACAAAGTGTTGGCCACTTTTCAAGGTGTTTTTTTTGTTTTCAATGAAGCCCTTGCTTTATATGAAGGACCCCTGCCAGTGAGGTTAGGTTTTTACCTTCCTTTGTCTGTTAATCTCGTAAAGTGTGGTTTCAGGAATTTTTATTTAGCTTTTTTCAATATTTTCATTTGATTTCTCTGAGAATAATGAATGTATCTTGATGGAAAAGAAGATCAAACCATACATTGTGCAGATATGTCAGTGTACAGTACTCTACAGTCAGTCACCTGGTTATTAGTAATACATTGTAGTGCAGACATGTTAACAATGTAAAAGATGGAGCTCTGTTTTGGTCTCCACCAACTCCTGAGAAAAAAATATCAGTCAGCTGTTTGTTTGTCGTTGGCTTTATTGTGTCCAGTGGTTTTTTTTACAGCCTTTATGCTTCAAATAGCTGATGTGGCCGAACTCATCTTTACCGTGAACCAACACAGTAAAGCCAAATGGCAAATAAAGGATTGTCTGACCTGACTTGACCTCAGCTCACAGTTGTGGGGCAGCTCATACAAATATATGAGGGTGGAGCTGAGAGGGAGGCTACAGCAGAGTCTGCAGTCAAACCTTTACTCTTGAAATAGCTTTTATTTTATGTTAAATATAACCACAATAAATACATCAGTATTAAAGTCCAGCACACCAACATCAGTATCAACCCCGTAAATCAAATATCAGCATTAAGTTTGAGGTGTTTTTGGTTTTGTTGGTTTCTCCAGTGTGAGTCGGCTGGTTTCACTGCTGCACAGGGAGATAAGTGTAACTTCGGAAGACACCATGAAACTTCCATCCTGAAGTTGCTGCTGTCTGTAACAACAACAGTTCCTGGTTTGCGGAAGTTCAGAACATGCAATCGAGCCCCAGACTTGAGTCAAGTGATCAAAGCCAGTGTCAGGTTTGGTTGTGAGGCTGTTAAAGGATCTTATCTCTCCGGTGAGTGAACATTAAGAATACAATCAGGAAGAAGTCAAAATAAAAAGCTGTGACAATACACGGGTCAAGGTTCAGCGTCGTAAAGTTACAGACAGCGTGTTCGCTGCTGACTGTGGGTCTGTTGTGAGATCGGAGCACTCACCCGTCTCCCTGGTGTCACCTCCTCTGTGCTGTCTTGTGTTGTGTTGTGTAGTGTAGTGTAGTGTCCTCGAGCTGCAGCTACACACACACACACCCTGCTGCTGTGACACGCTGCTGTGTTGTGATATAAGAGTGAGGAGGGGCGGGGCTGTGTTATCTCTGCGCACACTCCCAGAGTTACACAAAAAGTGACGTCACCGCGCGCCTACCGGCAATTGGCCCGCGGGATGAGTAGCTAGTGACGTCAGCGAAGCTGGTTTCTAATTCGACAAACAGTGTTGAAGATGGATTTCCGTTTTTATTCAATTCATTTTATTAATCGGATAATTTCTCATTTACAAGAAGAGACGGACTTTAAATGTATTTATATAAATGTTTGAATTTATATTTAAAATAATAACATTATCATGGTAACCTTGTGTATGTAGACTACCCCTGAAAACGTTAGTGCTTAAACTCTGTCATTGTGAATTAGTTCTTCTTGCACGGTTTATAACTAAATTATTCTCATTTGATGGTTTATCAACAGTTTTCCTCAAAGTTGGTCTGAAATGAATCTGGAATTTCTGTCATATCAAGATCTTAAACCCAGATTTGCATTGACACTTAGCTGGATGGTGACCATGGTTAAACCCTTTAAATCTAACAGATTGCTTTAGTATGGATATATTTGAAAGAATGTTGATATAGTATCTTTTAAGAGAGCATTACATTTTTTGTGATTTACGTTTTTTTGATTTTTACCGTGCAAATGTAACATAGCAAGGTCAATTTAAAAAGTATAGTAGACAGCAATGAAAAAAAGGAATGCACTAAACACTACTATAATTCTGTAACTGTGCATACCCTCTCAGATGTTGCACCTTTATTCTGGGCCTATTTCAGAAGTTTATAACATTTATAACCAGGTTTTGCTACTTTTAAAGTTTATTTTTAATTTTTTTTATTAGATATTACAATAGAAAAGATTCATTTAACATAAAAAATTGACTGCTGCTATATTATTGTCTGTAGACATAGTAGTAGCAGTAGTAACAGGGAAATAAAACATGGCTGCAACAGTTTGGTTGATTGATTCATTGATTAATTCACTGAGCTGAACATGTTGTAGGCTTATATCATAATTTCTGTTACCTTGCCTCCCAATCAGCAGCCAACTTCAGAGTCGTTGGTTATTGGTATTTAGTGCCTAAATAAACATGTATTATATCACCACTGTGTTCCAAAGGTCAATTAATACAGACATGAATGTTATCAGTGACTTATTTTTATTTCCTGGATGCTTTACAAAGCGCAAACAGCTGGAGACGAGACGACAAAGATGATGTAAACGTCAAGGGTTAGGGTTAACCTCCTGTTCCTCTGTGAGGGTTTTAAAGAACCAAATCCAAAAGCGACTAACATTTAAAGTCATAACGACTGTGGAAAGATTATTATGGATGACAATTCTCAACAAATGTCACAAACTTAAAATGTGTGACATAGCTTCATCTCTATGACTTCAATTGTTATTCAAAAAGATTTTCAAACACATCAATGTGTTTATAGGTGATCCAGGCAACCAACACTCATAGGACATCTTAAAGGGATAGTTCACCCAAAAAATATAAATTCATTCCTTTTTACATTTGGATGAATGTTAAAAGAATTTGACATTTATAATAATAATAATGAACAACTATGATATGAGGTAAACCTGACTCACCAGAGGTTGCCCTCACAGACTGTATCCCCACCCTCTGTGCAATAAATATAAATATTTATGAATCATAAACTGTGCAATAACCATACTATACATACCTTGCAATCAATCATGACTGTGCAATAATGTGCCATACTCATCCATCCACTGCGCAATACATGTATTACTCATACTGTGCCATAATCACTGCTGTGCAATACTCATTCATGTGCAATACAGCGACTTGAACATAGTTACATGTTTATTTGTAAATGTTGTCAATTTCCACTATTTCAAATAACGTATTTTTGTACTTTTTAGTGTTTTTGTACTTCACAATTTTTCACTATAATTCCATTGTACACCCTGTTCAATGACAATAAAGCCATTCTTATTCTAGATGTGGAGGATGGAATGAAAACATTAACTAAAGTTGTAAACGCATATATTCATGTACTATTCTCTAAAAGCAACATAAAAACCACTTCATGTGCTCCTCCATCCCAGTGCATCCAGTGATGCTGTGTGGTGTGCCTCCCCCCTCGTCGCCCTCCTGTCAGGCGGGCAGAGGGCACACCTCTCCTCCTCCTCCTCCTCCGTGGTCCTCCAGCGTCTCGTACCTTCTTGCCGCTCCTCTCAGCCTCGTTGTCTGCCGGTGAACTCTCACCCCAGCTGCTCGGGAAATGTCACACAGGCAGAGGCCCGTGTTGCAGTAGGGGGGCGTAATGGGAGAGGGCAAAAAACAACAACATCTTTTTTACTGCATCATTTTACGCGCTCTCTGTCGTGGAAGTGCCACATCCAGCTGCCACCAGCACCTCCAGCTCCAGCAGCAGCCGCCACTGATCGCAGCCTCAATGCTTCTCTCGCATTAGGGCTAATATAGATAT